GGGGGGGGGGGGGGGGGGGGGGGGGGGAGTGGCAGGTGGCCAGACAGGGAGCAAGGGTCAGGTCACAGGGAAGCTTTTTCTCTGAGGGAGATGGGGGTCTTGGGAGGGCACTGAGCAGATGGGGACCTGATCTGGCTTGTGCTGTAAAGGGTCCCTCTGACAGCCATTTGAGAAAAGACTGAAAGGGGTTAAAGGTAGAAACAAGGAGATCAGTTCAGAGGCTCTTCACATAATTCAGGTGAGAGAGGATGGCCACCTGGATCAAGGTTGTAGCGGGAGCATGTGGGTGGTGAGTCATGGTTGGATTCTGCATAAATTTTGAAGGGAGAGCCAACTGGGTTTGTTGATGGAGCATATTTGGGGGGTGAAGGAAAGAGACAGGAATGGCCCAAAGGGTCTTGGCCCAAGTGACTGGAAGGTGGTGCCACTAAGGCAACACGGGTGGCACAGCCTTGGGGGGAAGTTCCAGGTGTGTCACATGTGAGATGCTCAGCAGATGGAGATGTCCACAAAGCAGGTGGGTCAGAGCCAGGTGCTTGGGGCAGCCTGAGTGAACAGGAGCATGTGTGGGAAGTGCCCAGCACAGAGCCAGCCCCGGCACCTCTTAACCAATGCGAGCTTGTCTTTGTCTTCACAGTCAGTCATAGGTAGTGGCACCTGGGAGGCCATCAGCTCAGAAACCCCTGTGAAATCCCCAAGATTCGCCCTTCTGGACCTGGAGAAGGGGAAGTCATATGTCTTCAGAGTGCGAGCGATGAACCAGTATGGCACGAGCGATCCCTCAGAGCCCAGCGAGCCCATCACCTTGAGAGGCAAGCCAGGTACTCGTGTAACGCAATACAGGGGATGGGGTGGGAAGCAGCCAGGGGACCCGAGGCTGCGGAGAGGGAGCGTGCTCATTCCCCTCTCCCTGACCTCTTCCGCCTATCGTGAAGCTGCAAAATGACATGATCTCAGGCCTGGCATCTGCAGACATTGGAAGTCACATATCCCTGGGCAAGAGGCTTAGGGAGGTACGGACATTTTTTCCAGATCAACCATTCACAGGTTACAGAGTCCAACTGGATCCAGCACAGAAGCCATGTAAGCTTCTGGTCCCTCATTTCTAAAGGTCTTTGACCTGCCCCCTAGATCCCTAGATCCTGCCTGTGTGGCCAGAAGTGAGCCTCCTGAGCAGCCCCTGCTCCCTCCCTAGTAGGGGCTGAACTGTCTACCCTGAGCCCTAGCCCCCCGGGCAGAATCCCGCTCATCTGCAGCACAACATGGGCCTGGACAGGTCATTTCCAAACTGCAAACCTTGCTGTCCTCACCTGCTGAACCCATTGTTCCGAAGGCCCAGGTTACTGCTCCCACCTCCACTCCTTCCTGAGTCTCCCAGCTGCAGCTCCATCCTGGCCCCACTTTTCCAGGGCTTCCTCCCTCCTCTGAGGCCTCTGGATTCTGAGGTTTTTTTGATCAGATCTGATCAGAAGGTTCTCTGCAGCTGCGTCACCAACTAGTCCTTTAAGGAACCTAGCTGTAGTGCCATCTGTACAAAAAAAGCCTGGTTTGCTACAGGTCTCATTTGGGGATGATTTCAAAGTCCTAGATTTGCTCTGATTCAATGATTTAGAAAAAAATACATACATATATATGTATGTATGTATGTGTACATATACACTCACAGCAAGTATGAATGGGTTGGTGGGCAAGTGGTATTTTTCTTTAATTCTGGTCTTGTTAACATTTGGGTTTGATTTGGGGCCTGGCCAATGAGCATTTTGTGATTGGCTGTGGGCAGTCTCTGGACCACAAGATCTGTACAATTCAGAGAAGGAGAAGAGAGGAGGGGAGGGGAAGGGAGAAAAATAGAAAAGGCATTTACTCATATTATAAAAGTAAATCTATTGTACAAAAATGAAAAAAATACCAAAAAAGCAAAAGAGAGAAACAAGAAGGAAGGAAAAGAAGGAAGGAAAGGAGGGAGGGAGGGAGGGAGCCTAGAATGCTATGAGCCTCTGGGTGCCTGGACTTCAGGCCTATTGATTACACACATATCAATGCATCATTTTGAAAGTACAATCAGACCATAGAGAGCGCTTTGCATCCTACTTTTAAAAATTAACATTATATTACAAACATGTCCTCAGGTCATGCAATTCTCCTTGAAATGGTGATCTTAGTGTCCCTACACTGGATACCCTCAGCTCAAGTTCCTGCCCTTAGGGTCTCTTCTGCAGGAGGGGTCCCTGAGTGGTCTCCCTCCAGCCTCTCCCCTCCACCCAGCTCGCACTCACTGCCACACTCTCTTCAATTCCAGAGGTTGAAGTTGCTGACAAGAACTTCCTGAGCCTGGGACTTCAAATCTATTTCTCAGTACCTGTTCCAGGCAGAGTGTAGTGCCTGGCTCAGAGCTGGCACTCCATAAATGCTGGGTTTATGTTGAATAGGTTTTTCTATTGACTTTGGGGCACCTGGAACATGAGGAGAGGTGTCCAGAAGGAAAATGGAAGATGAGGCTCTGGAATTCAGGAGAGAGGGTGGGGAGGCCTGCAGAGAGGTAAGGGTTGAAGGCATGAGATAAGCAGGACCCTCAGGAATAAGAGGAGAGGAGAAACGTGGTGCAGGCCAGTGAACAAAAGGGTGGAGAAGTCTCATATTTGGGGACAAAAGGAAGAAGGGAAGCCACTAAAGGATTTAGCAAACAGTTTGAGAAGAGAGAATTAGGAATATCATGTCCCTGCCATCCATCCATCCAACCATGCATCCATCCAACTATCCATCCATCCATCCAACCATGCATCCATCCATCCATCCAACCATTCATCCATCCAACTATCCATCCAACCATGCATCCATCCAACTATCCATCCATCCATCCATCCATCCATCCATCCATCCATCCATCCATCCATCCAACCATGCATCCA